TATAATGTTACAAAACATTTCTATTTGAAATAAATGCTGTTCTTTAGAACTTTGTTCATCAATTTAATGCATCATAATGCATCTAACAATAGCTTGCCAATAACTCATGGCAGGAGAAACAGAAACAAAACTAAATGTACGTGCATGTGTAATATTAAAGCATTAGAAAGAAATACCTAGTCTGTATATACAAAGATCTCTGAACTCGAAAGTGATCTGATATCACTGAACAAATGTTAAATTCACACAGCACTCGGCGATGCATGCGTTTGTTTGAGCTCACAGATACAGAAAGAATGAATCGACACGTACTTAGAGTCAGGTGTGTGGTTACACAGCCGAAGATGAAGGCCGTGAGGAAAGACAGCGAGATGATGAAGGTGTAGAAGAAGCGGTAGTTTCGTTTCCCCACACAGTTGCCGACCCAGGGGCAGTGATGATCGAAGCGCTCTGTCAAACACACACGACAGCGGGCCGTCACACGGCTCGTGATTTATCACAGCAGGAATTAAAAAGTCTGCTGGCTTAAGAACAAGTGAGAACGTCAGAGATTAAACCAAAACACAAACAGGCTTCATAAACCTAACACTATAAATAACACCGCTAAATCTGAGAAAGAGCACGTCCTACGTCTATTCACAAGCAGAAGAGTGTGAAACTGCACACAATAAATATATTGGCAATTAAAATTGAGTGTTAAGGCTAACTAAATTACAGAATGTAAAGGTAAGTCAACTAAAAATTGTTTTTTACTGTTTGTGTAAGACAGACCTACTGTGAGCTACAATGGTTGTTAATCGATGGTATATGCATTTAACCTGTTTATGTGCATCATTTCAACTTTGAAATGATCAATTCACTCTTAACTAGTAGCTGATCGCGTCGCAATATAAAATGTGATTAAAAAAACAAAAACACTTGTTTTCTGTGCTTTTTTGTAGGGCTACAGAATTTGGCCAGAAATGTGATTATAAAATAATCATAATAATCATCTATTACTACTACTAAACAAAAATAAAAAATATAAAAAATGATACTAAAAATAAAATATGAAATATTACTATTGGGATATTATAATGATATAATTATTTACATTAATGTAAAATTACAAGACTAATATTTGTGGCTGTCTTCATTTTCAAATGTTAAACCATCAAGCATTTATTTTGATGGAAAATAGCATGAAGCCTCTTTTGCTGATAAGCTCTTCTCATTACAAGTATAGGAAGATGGCTGGCACGTTGCAGCCGTAACGTACAATGCACGTTAAAACGACCCAAAGTCAAGAGCAGATGCAGAGATGAGTTTGTGTGGGTAGCAGCATTTACTGTGAACCGAGCTGCTGAAAACACTGAGGAATG